CTGCTCCCTACGACCTATACTGTCCACTTATGATTCGTTCAACTACAATCTGGGCAAATACATAGCATGGGCTCTCACACCATATGTATCATCTGCAGGTTCATTTGCTGTTATGTTAAACTTATATTAAAGTTTTTCTTCATTACCTATTCAAGCCGTCTTCAACCATTAAAAGACTCGTAATGTTTCCTGAAAGCTTGCCAATTTTTTTGAAGAATCATAAATCATATTGTGTTGGACGATGTATCGATACAATTGTATCACAGCTTCACGATATGGTATGAGTATCGTATGGCTGTATTGCCACACCTTTAATAATTGTGTTTTGATAGAGAAACTGATTTATTGATGGTGTGTTACTATAATTGTGTTCTGATAGAGAAACTGATTTATTGATGGTGTGTTTATTACTATAATTGTATTTTGATAGAGAAACTGATTTATTGATGGTGTGTTTGTTATTATAATTATGTTTTGATAGAGAAGCTGGTTTGTTGATGGTGTGTTTGTCATTATAATTGTGTTTTGATAGAGAAACTGATTTATTAATAGTGTGTTTATTACTATAATTGTATTTTGATAGAGAAACTGATCTATTGATGGTGTGTTTATTATAATTATGTTTTGATAGAGAAACTGGTTTATTGATGGTGTGTTTGTTACAGTAATTGTGTTTTGATAGAGAAGCCAATTTATTGGTGGTGTGTTTGTTACCATATTTGTGTTTTGATAAAGAAACTGATTTATTGATAGTAATTTTGTTACTGTAATTGTGTTTTGACAGAGAAGCTGATTTATTGGTGATGTGTTTGTGACTGTAATTGTGTTTTAATAGAGAAGCTGGTTTGTTGATGGTGTGTTTGTCATTGTAATTGTGTTTTTATAGAGAAGCTGATTTGTTGATGGTGTGTTTGTTACTATGATTGTGTTTTGATAGAGAAACTGATTTATTGATGGTGTGTTTGTCATTGTAATTGTGTTTTTATACAGAAGCTGATTTGTTGATGGTGTGTTTGTTACTATGATTGTGTTTTGATAGAGAAACTGATTTATTGATGGTGTGTTTGTTACTATATTTGTGTTTTGATAGAGAAGCTGACTTATTGATGGTGTGTTTGTTACAGTAATTGTGTTTTGATAGAGAAACTAATTTGTTGGTAGTAATTTTGTTACTGTAATTGTGTTTTGATAGAGAAACTGATTTATTGATGGTGTTTGTTACTATATTTGTGTTTTGATAGAGAAGCTGATTTGTTGATTGTTATGTATTAGAATATCAGATGGTCTGAAATTGAGTTAAATGATACTTTAAATATAGTAGTCAAATTGTACTTTGTATTTAGTATTTAAATAAATGCCAATATATAGAGTGTTTATGATATTTGCCAACAAGATTGATACACACAGTTTTCTTTTTTAACACAAATATGTTTTAATATACACACAACAATACAATTTACAATAACAGTTATTACAAATAATGATTTATAAACAAAAGTTTCACAAACTTACAAGCAATATAAAGTCTTCCTTTTAGTCTGGAACTTTTTTGATATCTTATTGAGGGTTCATGAAGAGCGAGTTGATTACAAATTGACGTTGGTATAATTCACTTAACGGGAAGCTAGCTAGTTTTGTCCTTCGTTATTTATCAGCCACACACACCATGTTTTCCACCATGATGTTATATAATGTTTTCATAAAAATACTAATGTCTGATAAAAATTCACTGAAGTTAAATGAGTTGTAATGTTCGAACTTTGTAAATGCTCCTGGTCAAATATCTGAAGTTTTCCAATTGATAAGCATTATAACAATCACAGTTATAGCTTCCAAAGTTTGTAGCACACTTACTATAGCAAATTAATAATAAATACTCTCCTTGACGCGTCGTGTTGGTTATATTTATAGGCTGCGGAGGCTTTCTAAAAAATTCAGATTACATAATAATACAAATTTAAGCATTTACGTACACACATATATTGGTGATTTTTACTCTCGAGAATCTTCTTTGAAGAATAGGCGAGAGTTTTGCAAAACATATTTAACTGTATAGGCTATGCAAGTTTCTAAATATAAATTAATGTTGATCTTAAAATGAATATATAATAAAAAATTCATTACACTGATGGTGTGTTTGTTACTATATTTGTGTTTTGATAGAGAAACTGATTTACTGATGGTGTTTGTTATTGTAATTGTGTTTTGATAGAGAAGCTGATTTGTTAATGGTGTTTGTTATTGTCATTGTGTTTTGACAGAGAAGCTGATTTATTGATGGTGTGTTTGTTACTATAATTATGTTTTGATAGAGAAACTAATTTGTTGATAGTAATTTTGTTACCGTAATTGTGTTTTAATAGAGAAGCTGAGTTGTTGATGGTGTGTTTGTTATTGTAATTGTGTTTTGGTAGAGAAGCTGATTTGTTGATAGTAATTTTGTTATTGTAATTGTGTTTTGATAGAGAAGCTGATTTGTTGATGGTGTTTGTTATTGTAATTGTGTTTTGACAGAGAAGCTGATTTATTGATGGTGTTTGTTACTATAATTATGTTTTGATAGAGAAACTAATTTGTTGATAGTAATTTTGTTACCGTAATTGTGTTTTGATAGAGAAGCTGATTTGTTAGTGGTGTGTATGTTATTGTAATTGTGTTTTGATAGAGAAGCTGATTTGTTGATAGTAAGTTTGTTACTGTAATTGTGTTTTGATAGAGAAGCTGATTTATTGATGGTGTGTTTGTTACTGTAATTGTGTTTTGATAGAGAAGCTGATTTGTTGATGGT